AGTTTCTATCAGATGCCTTCTTTATTTCCTCCCATAGCAATTACCATCGTTCCTACTCAAATTAGGTGGTCTATATATAACACCAATGACTACGATTCACTGCCCTCACCAATCTCTACCCAAATACTTTCATTGTCGCTATTTGTTTTAATGTTTGATTTATTGCAGCTTTTTAATGACACCCTGATATACACTGCTACACCGCCACCTCTCCCTTCCTACTCTGTCAAATTTAAATAGGTTATATCCTGAATATAAAATTCTGCTAAAAAAGTTGCTGTTTGAATTTATCCATGTTTCCGTTATTGCAATTATATCTATGTTCTTTTACTAACAATGGCCCTGAGCTGGTCCATCTTGTTACACAGGCTTCTACTATTCGTATAATAAACACTCAATATATTTCTTCCGTTTCTATCTGTTTTACATTTATTACTTTGATGTTTGTTATTATGACTAACTATATTTTCAGCATTATCTACTTCTGTTTCAATTACTTCCCAGGACCTGCTTGTTTTTTACTCCCATTTTCCCCGACCCCTCTCTACTGGCGAAACCCTTCGAGTGCAATACCACGCTCCAGGATGCAGACAACGTCTTTACCCCTCACGAGACAAGTGTACTCCGTCGCGACAGTACAGGTATGCCATAAAATCGTTGCCAGTCATCAATGAATGCCCAACCATTGTTTGCACAGTTTTTCCAGTCGGCAATTAATAGCAATTGCCCTGGACAGCCATTCACGACCAACCCCTCTTCTAGGCAAGACACCACATACCATCGATCCCTTCCTATCTCTAATCTTCCCCAGCGCCTCCCTATACCTCTTGAAAGTTCCTCACCCTAACCTTACCTATGTCGTTTCCTCCCACACTAAGACACACTACTGATTGGTACCTCCCCTGACAAAACTCTGTCTAACCCTCGGCTACATGTCCCATCCCAGCCCCAGGAAAACATACCCTAGTCCTATTGCTTCCTATCTCGCACAAAAGCCCCTATCCATAAACCTCACCTGGCTGCTCACCAACCACGACCTACCTGTGGGCAGGGTTTGTACAACTGCCCTTTCCTCTCCTTGATCCATACCGTCCTGCTTCTTCTTCTTCCTCTCCAGCCTTGCAGCACCTGGTAAGGGTTACTGCACTCCACACCCCTGGTCAGCTTTCTAAGCCTGACCCTAGTCCCCTTGGAGATAACCACTCTCTGATGCCTGCTCTTCGCAGGTGTCCTGCTAGGCAGGACACCTACCTGAAGGAGTTCCGTCCTGAGGGCTTCATTTTTCCTCCCTTTAGAGTGTCAACTCACCCTCAACTGCCCCAGCTTGCCTTAACAGGGTGGCAAGGAGGTCGTCCTTCCCCACACTCCTCCTCTTCCCCCACGGCAGTGCCTTGTTCGTTCATGTTAGAATAATAATCACCCCATTGCTTGGGAAAAAGCTAGAAGTATTCAATCATCTTGTGTCACAGAAGACTTCTGGTTGAAGCTAGTTTGATTGCGAATTAAAATCAATAAACCTAAGTGATGGTCAGTTCAAAACTGATAATATGTTACATAAATTTATTTGTCAGTGGCCCAAGGTTAAAAATGCTTTAAAACCTTTTGATCTAGATGTATGATAGTTATTTTGGATCCTTTTTTCTGACCTGACTTGGTTAGTCACGTCACCAATCTTCTCTTAAGCTCCTCTACGTGTGTGTTGGTGTGGGGATTAGTATGTCATCATTTTGACCTGACTCATGTTTTAGGTCACCCTGTATATTTGCCTCTTCTGTCCATGTAATCCAGTTGTCTGAAGATGTCTTGAATAAAGACGAAAGCTAAGGTACCCGTTGTTTCCATTTTCCTGTGTGATTTTATATATATATATATATATATATATATATATATATATATATATATATATATATATATATATATATATATATATATATATATATATATATATATATGCATATATATATACATATACATATTTATATACATATACATATACAATCATGACCACAGTGGTGACACACGAGCGACGTCCCTCAGACACGTAGCGTGCAATACGCACGAGTGATGTCACACAAACACGACTACAGTGAGACTCGAGTTGATGTCACACAATTGGAGTTGATGTCACACAGACGCGTGCCATGCGCACGAGTGATGTCACACACGAGCTAGGATGTCATACTAACACAACCATAGAGACCCACAATCAATGTAGGGACTCTTTACACAACGGATGTCACAAACACTACTGCGGCGCCCTTACTTGTACAAGGTTACGGCTTGTCACAACCTTCGTTGTTATTTCTTGATTATTCACACACATACACATATATACACATATACATTCTGTACATATAACTTGAATGTTGTACACACACTTAACCCGCAAATCCTTTTCATTTATGTATTACTTCATGGTTCCTTATCATCATTGTTTAACTTAAATCTAAATGTAACACCAACGTCTTATATAATTACCGTGAAATATACTAAGACTTATATACGTTCACTTAAGATAAAGACAAAATAAAAGTTAATGAATCTTATCAGAATTATAAATCTGTTAAGCGAAACTTTGTGATTATTTTCCGAAGTTAATTTTGCGATATGGTTGATATTTGATATACTATGGTGTCACTGGTATAGGAAGATCAGCTGTTAGTTATAATCACTTGCGTGCGTGTCCGAGCGAACGCTAACTACCCGTCCGCCCAGACCAAACATTACACCAGGGGTGGGCAATTATTTTTGATGGAGGGCCACTTCATGAATGGTGGCACACTTCGCGGGCCACAGGTTAACAGCGACGAACCAGTATTGCTGCTATGTCCACCCAACTTCCAAAATTGTCCTTTCTGTAATTAATAAGAATTTTTTTTTCTGATTGCCAAATGCAGTGGCGGGCCACAGAAATAATTTGGCGGGCCAAATGTGGCCCGCGGGCCGTACTTTGCCCACTCCTGCATTAGACAGTGTCTGGGTGTTCTGAAACCTTAGCTCACTGGGTGCGCGGCCTCCCTGTTCGGAAGGAACGCTCACAGCCCAGTATGCGCAGACAGAAGCCTTACGACACTGTCCAGGTATTTAAGACACTTCACTCAAACACACAGCTGAACTAACACAATCCGGAGGAGTGGTGACCCGAGGATCACACACCCAACACAGACAAAACCACATACGTGCGCTATGCGCTAACCAAATAAACGCAGTCGTGTAAAGCCACGGCACTATCTCTCCCACTACAATTTCCTTCCTAACCTCCTGCTCCTTCCTCTGTCATCTTCCCCGCTCTGACTTTCGCTACCAACAACTTTTTGGAGCTTCTAAACTTGAACTTGAACACACAGTACTCACTATCACTGTCTCCCTGCTGACGACGCACGTGATCCACCCACTGTGGGTGGGTGGGTGATCCACGTTGGTCCTTCTACAGTCCTCGCAAACAATTCACATATAACAAATGCTGTTATCTCAGGACACATAGTATGAATAATACAATCAATATACAGTACATAGCCTGTTAACATCTTAAATATAACTCACATGTTACATCTGTTGATATATCAGGAGACAAGTTGTATAATATGATCAAATTACAGTACATAAATATACTTATTAAAGTTATTTAGAGTTTATATTTACGTTTTAGGGTCTTGGGGTCTTGGGTTCGACCAGCGAGTTGTTTCTCCTGCAAGAATTGATAGACTACTGTGAGCAATCGCCACCCAATAGCAGCCCTAGGCGAGGGCCATCTGTTTTATATTAGACACGACCAACAAACACCAACAAACACGTTGTCAGCACTGCCCCCCCCCCTCCC